ATATATAACTATACATGCTTAATGAGGGACTATATTATGAGAAATGCATCATTTCATGATTCTGTTTTATGAATATTGTGGTGTGAACTTACACAACACTGGGTATATTAGATCAGTCCTTCAATGTGGCCTCTTGATGCATTCCAGTGTAGTGGGGAAAGGTAGGAGGCATGATTCTTCTGCTGATATAACATGGTAACCCTTTCACAAAAAATTTTTCATTTATTTATTTTTATTCTGCTTGTTTCACACACACACACACACACACACACACACACACACACACACACACACTTCTCCCATGTGTTGGGTCATTTCCCCAAGTGCCCCAAATGGTCAGGACTGAGCCAGGCCGAATCTAGGAGGCAGAAATTTTATCCCTGCTGGCCATAACCTAAATGTTCCCTCCCAAGATCTGCTCTAGCAAGAAGCTAAAATCAGGAGTAAAGCCAGGAGTCTCTTGCTCTGATAAAGTGTACTGATATCCCAAGTGATGTCTTCATTACATCAAATATCTGTCCCTACAGCAAACATTTTTAAGAGGTGTGTGTGTGTGGGGGGGGGGAAGCATGCTTTGAAGTAATGGTAAAATTGTGGTGCATACAATTTGTGGTTTGTTTGTAAGCATACAAACCAGTCCTATAGTTCTTATGATCATATCAAGTGCTGTAAACTGTATGTAATTATGCATGCTATATTTTTGTGTGGCTGATAGCATAACAGGTTGTTTATATCTGAATTATCACAAATACAGGGTAATGCAATGTCTGTGACATCAGTGTGGCTAAAATGTCACTAGGGGATAGAAAACTCAGTTCTATTATAATCTTACGGGACTATCCTTGCATCGACTATTATAATCTTATGGGATTGTCAATGATAGATGAGTTGTTATGTGACCTGTAATTGTGCATATCTGTGTTTGTATAGGAATACATGTGCATATTACTAGAAAGTGTATGACAAGCACTTGTTATGAAAACAATTATGCATGCACAGGGCCAACATTATGGCGTAACAGGTTAGGCCACAGCCTACAGTGCAGGTATCCCATGTGGAAGCCAGTTGTAGTCACCTCTGCTCTATTTCTGATCCAGCTCTCCACCAATGACCCTGAAAAAGCAGCAGAAGATGGCCCACATCCTTGGACTTCTGCACCAGATGGGACATCTGTGTGAAGCTTCTGGTCTTGGCCTTGGCCCTTGCAGCATTTGGGGAGTGAGCCAGTTAATGAAAGATCTCTCTCTGCGTCTCCCTCGCTCTTCAAATAAGTAAAATAAATACGTGAAAAAAATCTATGCATGAATTTCAAAAATATTTTGAATTTCGAAAATCTTTATGGGTTACTAGGTAATGTTTTGATACATATATACATTGTGTAGCATCCAATCAGAATAAATATAATTATTTCTTAAAAATGTTTAACAGATCTTTATGATTAAAGCATCCAATATCTTATTTTCCAGTCTCTAATATGCCATTAGCTATCAGTATCTATCTTTATGCTGCTATGAACTGAACCCCAGAATTTCTTACCCCTATCTAATCATACATTCAGACTCATTAATCAATGTTTTCTTATCCTCCAACTAAGAACTTTTTGAAGGTATTTCCTCTGTCATGTCTGCCTATCTATTGTCATCATCATCTATATATCATCTCTCTCTCACCGTGCCTGTAACTTTCAAGTAGATGTAAAATAAGCATTTTCAAAATGGTGAGGTGCTTATTAAGTTGAAAAAACAGAGGCATGATAAAGGATGCAACAGGATGATAAAAAGGATGATAAAGATGCAACAAAAAACAGAGCCCACAAAATGTGAAATGTTTATTGTCTGGCCCTTTACAGAAAGCATCCCTTGGTCCCTGAACGATGTGGAAGGTAGGAGTAATGGAGTGCACACATTTCCACTTTTACCAAATAGAACGCTGTTTTCTGTTACTTAAAGTATCACTGTACTTGTAGAATTATAGCTCGCACCCTTTCTGAAAATAGAGAAATCCTCTTGGCTGGAATCTGTAACAGCTGGTGCCAGCCAGAGCGGCTGCCCTGTGGCCTTGTTCGTGTGTCGCTCTCACTTCCCTGGACTCCCCCTCAGTATCAGCATCATCCCTGAGTATGCTACACATCTTTTCCGTGTTGGCTGGTCAGCCAATGACTGTCCCACCCCAGTTTCCCTTTTAAGTCTGCAGTAGTACTTAGCCCCCTCTTCTGTAACCCCGCACTCCCCTCCTCTCGCTGTATTTCAACCTTGTTCATGTAGATGACTTCCTAATCTGATCTTTCCACTCTAACCCTTACGTGGCTTAACCCTTGCTTCGCGCTCTCACTGCTTTCAATGCGGGTCCAATTCTGTCACTTGATCTAGACTTCAGCACAGAAAGGGTCGGTGTCCTCCCTATTACCCTTTCTAGACATGGCTCGTGTGCACCCTTTGTTTATTCATCTGGTATTGCTATCAGCTGGTATACTTTCCTTCTCACGGACCATTTGGCTGCCTCTTTACTTAGGAATATGACAGTTTTCCATGTCTACCACATTGACCATATGACCAGTGCTTCTTTGCTGGGCTTGGAATCCAACACACATTTGTAACCAGAGCCATCACAGCACTCAACTTCTGGCCCATGTCCTCCTTCATTCCAGCATAGTTTGCAGAACCCACCCCACCTCCTGTCTATTAACACACATACTTCTCTCATGCTGACTCCTTCAGGTAATAAGCTAGGTTTTGGGGATCAGAGATGCCTAGATTTCTGAATGTTCTCATGGGAAAAGGTAGCATGCACTCTGTGAACCCAAAGCAAAGCAGTACATAGTAGGTGATGAATAAAGTTGCTAAATACGAGAACATGGGGAGGAGTGTTTAGAAGTAAATTCTGTAACAACAAAACTTCCAAACCACCTCATGAGAATATCACTAAACCTAACAAGTGGAGTTAAAGACTATTTGATTTTCATTTAAACCAGGCTTTTAATATACAGTTTTAAGACTAAACTTCCAGTGGTTTTTTTTAAAAAAAATGACCGACTGTCTTGGATGCACTGTCTCACTTTTTGGTCTGTTATCTTGCCTTTAGCAATGTCTGTGAACACTGAAGTTTGGTAAACATATGCAGTCTTATGATTACAGTACACGAGACAACATCCTCCTTCGTAAACATCTGTATTCCTTCCTAGAAACCACACTGAATCCCCAACCTATCCCTGCAAGTGCACGGGGAGATGCTTCTCAAGTCACTTCCACCTGAGTACCATTCTCATTTTGCTCTCTCTCCTGCCCTAGAACATCTCTTTTCTGACTTCCTTCCACCTATCTGTTTTTACCTGTATCTATATCTATCTCATCCATATATCTATATCTCCCTCTTTGGGGAAAACTGAGCTGAAATGTGCTTCCCTGGAGGTAGACACCCTCAGTACACTGACTGGCAGTTCAGGGTGTTCACCAGTTTGCTCTCAGTGTGATTCCTGTTGATGTGCCCCATCCACGCACTCACGCATTCTTTGCATGATCTGGTCTTCTAAGACATCTCCCTGGGCCTCAGACATTGTGCAGGGGCCTAGAGATGCAACACTGAGCAGGATACAATGGTGAACCTCCAGGAAATTCAGAGTGGGGAAGTAGCAACCATCACATCTCCTGTGAATAAACATGGGATCATATGATGTGCATGCCTGGGCTGACACAGAAAGGAAAAATTCAGTTCAGTGTTTGACTCCCCAAAGCTCAGTCATATGGGTCCCTGTATGTATGTGTCTGGCTTCCTTTGGCCCTCTGTTCTTTGTTAAGTCGGGTGGAGAAAATGGTGACCCTGTCACAGCCATGGTGCTTGAGGTTCATTCATGTAATCGACATGACACCCTGTCCCCAGCCCCCCAACTAGATGGTATCATCTCCGTTTTAAACACCAACAGAATCCTGACACTGTTATTCCCTTGGCTGTCCCTGGGAGGATGCAAACTGCACGCTGGAGTTAGGGGCTCGAGTTATTACACAGCCTGTGGCATTACGATTTGAAGCCCCCAGCTTCAGTAACTGCTAAGTCACCTAGTTGAGGACCCTCGATTTACATTAAAACAAACAACCCCTCCCGGCAACCAGCAAGAAGAGCGAATCCCCCTTTCCTCTGCAGAAGGCAGAACTGGATTTCAAAAATAGAAACCTGTCCTGCTAAATCTGTGCCACCCCCCTCCACGGTTGACAAACGACGGATTTCCCAAGATAGCTGCCACACACACACTGTCTCATCTCCATATTTCCTCACTGCCAGAATTCTGAAATCCTTCCCGAGTCCGCCCAGTCACTCTGAACTTTTGCACAAACACCTTCCGGCTTCCTGTGCTTGGTTCAAAGCCCCTGGCCACGGATTAGGGGACACGGGCCAGGCGCAGTGGCCCGCGCGGGGTCTCTAGTTGCTCCAGCCTGCCGCGCTAACGCCCTGCCCCACCCTTACCCCCTCCCCCGCCCTAGTACCCCCTGGCACCTGCCAAGCTGCGGAAGCGGTCGCGCTATTTTTTCACCTCCCCAGCTGCAACCCCGTGTATTTATTTGTAGGAAGGAAAGAAAGAAAGGATGAAGAAGAGAATTCTTGTCCTTGGTTTCTCCCTGAGCAGGACAGGAGCGGGACGTGTGAGGAGTGGGGTGATGGAAAGTGCAGGTTGATGGTGTTTTCCTGGGCCTCTCTCGCGCCCAAGAGCCCCGCACTTCATGCCCTCTGGCTCGTCCCCGACTGCCCGCTTCCCTCCCCTGTCCTTTCCTTGGCGGAGCAGCTGTCCCTCTGCTGCTGCTGCCTGGGATGCTGCATCACCCTGCTGCTTTCCCTTGGCGGCCACACAACCGGGCATGCGCAGCGCGTCCCGTGCGGGCAGCCGCCGCCGCCGCAGCAGCAGCACCAGCCAGCAGCAGCAGCATCAGCACTCGGAGCCCCGTTGGGCGCGCTCTCGGGGGGCAGGGTGCACGCCCGTTCCCGCGCGGCCCCGCGCCGCTCGCTCCCGCGCGTCGCCTCAGCATCCTCAGGCCCGGCAGCAGCCCCCGCAGTCGCTGGAGCGGCCGCGCCCGCCGCGGGGAGGGAGCAGCCCCTGGGGGAGGCTCCAAGTTGGTGAAGCGGCGAGGACCCTTGGACTCCTCGGAGGCTCGCCCCCGACGCCCCCGGGAGGGGCTGCGAGGCGAGTCGAGGCGGGCAGGGGCTCCGCGTTGCCCCGCTCCCCCAGCCCCCAGCTCCCAGCCCGCCGCGGCACCATGCGCGCCCAGCGAGCGTGACCGGCTCCGCCCGCAGCCGGCCCGCAGCCCAGCCCTGCGCGCTCGCCGGCCACACCAAGCGGCGCCCGGGAGCTATGAGCCATGAAGCCGCCCGGCAGCAGCTCCCGGCCGCTGCCCCTGGCGGGCTGCAGCCTTGCCGGCGCCTGCGGCGGCCCCGCCAGCCCGGTGCCTGCCCGCGCCCCGGCCCGCGCGCCGCCCTGCCGCCTGCTCCTCGTCCTTTTCCTGCTGCCTCGGCTCGCCGCCTCGTCCCGGCCCCGCACCTGGGGGGCTACTGCTCCCAGCGGTGGGTATGGCCCCGAGCCCTTTGCCTTGCCTCCCCCCTCCCCTCCCGGTGCGGCCCTGCAGGGGAAAGCGAAGGGCGCGCGGCTCTGTGCGCTCCGGACACGTCCTCGACCCGGCCTTGCCGCGTCTCACTGCCTGCCCTTCCACCTTTCTCAATCCCAACCCCACCATTCATTGCAGTCTGCTTTGGGAAGTCCACTTCTGTTGAATTCACCCCCAGACTTGTCCAATTCCTGTCGGCTCCACTGGGAAGCTACCTGGTGGAGCCTGCGTTCTTATGCGCTCTTAAAGCAACTTGCGGAGGGGGAAACCAGTAGATGGAAACCAGAGGGAGGAAGCAAGTTGCTTCTGGCGTGCTGGAGCCTTCTTGTGAATGCGGGGTTGTGTGCGGGGAGGCGGTGGTGGTGGTGCTATTACCCTGGTGGGGCCAGGGTCCTGTCCTCTCACCTCCTGCTGGGGCTATCCACTCCCGTGGGGACTAAGGCGGAGGAGGCACACCTCGGTAACTAGAGCATTTAAGTACTGAAGGCAACGACCTTGTGATTTCTGAATACTTGTCTTGGTAATGAGCAGTAAAACAATGCCATGGCCAGTCCATCAGTGGTGGGGAATCGCTGAAAGCAGAAAATCTAGTTGGGAAGGAAAATAAGAAATTGGAAGGTCGCCAGCCTCTGTATCCCCTCTAAGGCAAAGAATTTGCTCATCGTAAAGTTAAAAGGGAGCCAGGACCATTTTGTTCAATCAGTTGACATGCCATGTGCATGAATTCAGCACTCATGTGGGGAATGTGCAAGCCCTCAGATGGGATGCCAGCAGGCAGAGCACAGTGGAGCCTCTGTGGCTCAGAGATGGGCTGCAGCAGAGGTCGGGACCCCAGGGCATGCTCGTCGTCTGACTTTGTCCCACTTTGGTCCTGCTGCCTATTCTTCGTGCTTGGACCAGGAACTTTGAGCCTGGCTAGAAAATGCATATATAAGTGAAAAAATAAGCAGCTGATGACTGTTTAAGCCTTTGTGGGGTAGCCACGCATCCTGGCTCTCTCATTGTTGCAGTAACTTGCGTTTCTGTGTCTCGTTACTTGCTAATACACAGAAAACTTTGTTTTGTAATTAATGGAAAAATGTCTTTGGGAACTTACGTATGGCTGAGTTTATATGCGTGTGTGCGTCTGTGTGTTTCCTGCCTCCCCAGCTCCGCATTGGAATGAAACTGCAGAAAAAAATTTGGGAGTCCTGGCAGATGAAGACAATACAATGCAACAGAATAGCAGCAGTAATATCAGTTACAACAATGCAATGCAGAAAGAGATCACACTGCCTTCAAGACTCATCTATTACATCAACCAAGATTCAGAAAGCCCTTACCATGTTCTTGATACAAAGGCAAGACACCAGCAAAAACACAATAAGGTAGGCAGAAGGCTGGGTGCGCCAAAGTCGCTGCCACCAAGTTTCCCTTTGATTTGATTTTCTGCCAGAATCCGATTTCACAATTTCTACTGCAGCATTTCTCCTCCCCAGAAAGCAATGAATATGATGATAGAAGAGAAACTGGAGGCAATTGATATGTTTGCATAGGATTACTCTTGGCTTCTCTTTGACAAAACTTAACCTGGGATTTTGCTCATGCCCTGAAGAGTTGAATAGCTGAAAACATCAGGTGCACTGGATTTGGGACATAGTTAAGTGAACCTGTTTACGGCCCTGACTTGTGTCTGTGGGGTTTTATGTAAGGGTGCAGTGTTCTGCCTGTGATGTAAAGATTGTTTTCAGTCTGCACTCAAAGCTTTCTGTAAGAGGCTGTCGGAATGCACTTTCCCCATTGGGTTTTCTACTTTGAAATCGAATATTTAAAGAACCTCTTTCTATCTTTGACTGAAATTAGGGAAAGATATTTTTCTTGTTACATTTTTAGCAGGTAAACAGTTCAAAATTTTAAAAGAGTATGATGAATAGAAACGAATGGTTTCAGAAATGTGAAGACCAGTTTTGACGTTCTCCTTCCGTATCCAATCTGCAGTGACTGTGAGCAGCTACTTTGAGTTGGTTCAGAAAGTGGCACTGACTTTTAAAAGCATATTGAATGAATGATAAAGCTGTTTAATAATCAAAGTGGTTAAGAAATATTTTTCCTACTTAATGCTCTTTATTTGAAGTAGTAGTTTGAATTCAGTTTTGTTGACTGAATGGATTGTCAGGTCCATTCAGAAGAAAATAGAGTCTCTGTGTTACATGTTTTGTTTTGAACTACATATCTGTGTAGTTGAGAACAGCAGTAACTACCTAAACATTTAGATTGTGGGAAAAATATTTGAACTTTACGTCATTGATTTGTTAGATTTCTGCAGTATAGGTAGGTGCTAACAGTTTTCAAGTGGGGATCTAGAAATGTAAGGCTTGTAGGTGACTCCTGCAGAATTGTAGAGCAGCCAGCATAAACCTTAAGAAGGCTGAATATTTAATTTATATTGTGTTGTTTACAGATTAGGTCTCTGCTTCCTTCATTTTGAAGATTAAGTTTGTGCCACATTGGTGTCAAGTGGCTGCTGCCTGTCTTGCTGGGATAAATGGATCTTTGCAGTCATTTCCTCCTTGAGCTACTGTGTAGCTTAGTAGGCACTTTCTTGATATGGATCAAATTTTTTTCCATATTGCTTTATTGAGCGATGTGGACGTTGTCTTTAAGGAAGAAAAATTTTAAGATCCTCTGATAAAATGAATTAGGGTCTACATTATGGCTTTTCTTATGAGGAAGACCACATAGTTCTCCAGCTCTAGTGCCCTTGCATAGGGGGCTGGAGGAAGAGCAGCAATCCACCATAAAGTTGCATTTTAATGTCAAGATATACTTACATAGCGGAATGATGGATTTGTGACTTTTGTTGAAGGACTGTTGTTGAAGGGTTAGGGGAAAGCAGTGGGACAAGGGAGGGGGAATGGGAAGGATGATAGGGAAAAATCCCTGAGCCTGTGGAGCTGGATCCAAAAAAAAGAGCCTTACCCAGCTGAGGTGTAACAGCCATTTCAGTGTAGTTTCTTTATCGCTCAGGTGTTGCAGGCTATGATTGGTGTGTGTCTTATAAGTCAACTTTATATGGCTGTTTTGTTTGGTGGGACATGGTCTGACTAAATGTCTAGCTTCTTGTGATAATAAGTGTTGCGAAACCTTTATCTGCTGTTATATAGAGGAATAGATTATTACTCTATTCAGATTTACAATCTATCAGATAATAGCTTATTTGGAACACCTGCTTACAGTTGGAATAAGTGAACCCTCTCCACTCCTCTCACTCTCAGCCCACATGGTGGTTGAGTTTCTTTTATACTTTAAGAATAATATTTACACAGGTTTTATATTTGAAAGTATTTTTCTTCTGATTCAGTTAATTTCATGAACATTTTTTGGTTATTTTTTTTTTCTGGGGAAGACGTTTGCTAAGGACTCAAAGATGAGAATCATTTAGAGTCTTGAAGGAGCTCCTGTTTGTGTATAAGCAGTGCTGACTTTATTTGGTGGGTGGGTGTCCTATAATTTCTCTTTGTGTATTGGGATTTCCCCCTTTTCTTCTGCTTTTAAGTATCTTTGGAACTGCTTCACAAAAATATTCCATATACCTTCTGTTGTATCTTAGGATGGCTTAGCTGAAAACAGCAAGGAGAGACTCTTGTCCATTCAGTTGCTTTGCAGATGTTTCATTGAGAAAGTGTAAAATTTTATAAAAAACTTGCTTTTATAAGAAAAGTTTTGGTTTTAGGTTTGACTGTCACAGATCTTTCCCCTACTCCCCTGATTTCCTGGGCATGCAGGCACATTTTAATGAATGTCAGAGAAGTGCTGAATCACCATGGCACTCTCCTGGATCCCTAGATTGGGGTAGAAATGGAGAAAGAAGCCCCCAAATCTAGGTTGCAAGACTGAGCTCCATATTTATGCCTAAAGAAATTTTATATATATTCAGTTTTGGCCAGTGCTTTCTGCTTTGTAGCTGTGAAAGTTAGAATGTTTATGAACTCTTTAAAAATTGGTTTGTTTACAAGCAGATTATATATACGAATTCATTCATTCATTTCAGTATATATGAATGTTTTTGAAAACTTTGGTATTCTTAAAGATTCTTTTACTTGAAGGATGGGGCATGTTTATTTGTTTGACTTAAAATTGAAAGAGAGAGAGCTAGCCTTTATCCACTGATTGACCCTCCGAATGCCTGGAATACGGGAGCTGCACCGAACAGAAACTGGAAGTCCGGAGCTCAGTTTTTGCCCCCCAGGTGGCAGGGCCCCAGGTGCTTGGGCCATCATTCCTTCTTCCCAGGGAAGGCATTAGCAGAAAGCGGAAACTGGAGATGGTTGGGACCTGAACTCATGTGTTCTGGTATAGGGTAGAAACATCCTGAAAGTGATGTCTTAACTATTGCATCAACTGCTTGCTCCTAGGGTTATTTTTATATCCAGACAGGGTGAAGTATAATCAGTTGTTCAAAGTGTTCCATTTTTTTAAGGGTAGATATGGGCACACTTAGTAATTATGCCAGGACAGTAGGTATAAATAAGACAGGCTAGTCTAGAGTAGACAGGGAATTAGGCATCTCACCTCTAAACAGCTGTGTTCCTTGCTTTTAGGTACCACCCACATCTGATGTTCACATGTCTTCATACACAGTTCCATTTTCTAAAGGAAGATTTATTTATTTATTTGGAAAGTAGAGTTAGGGTCATGAGGAGAGAGGAAGAAGGGGAGGGAGGCAGGAAAAGAGAGAGAGAGCAAGAGTGGGAGAGGGAAGGAGGAAGAATGGAAGAATGGAAGGAAGGGAAGGGGGAGAGAAAGAGAGATAGAGAAAGAGTGAGAGATCTTCATCTACTGAATCATTCCCCAAATGCCCATAATGACAACAGTTGGGCCAGACTGAAGCCAGGAGCTTCTTCCTGATTTGCCATGTGGAGTACTTGAGCAATCTTCTGGTCTCATTCACATTTTTCAGGGAGGTGGATGAAAAGTGGAGTAGCTAGAACAGGAACTGGCACTGATGCAGGGTGCCAGCATCACTACGCCACAATGCCAGCCCCGATAGTTTTATTTGATAAGTTTGCTTTAGGTAGTTAGAAAATATTTACCACCATGAGGCAGTTTTAAGATCTGAAAGGGAAAAAATTTTCATTTTTTTCGGTAATATTGTTATTAGTGCTCTTAAAATCCTTGGAATCTTTGGCATGAAAAGGGTGTCTTGGCTGGTGGCTACTGGTCTCTAGATAGCCTTAGTGTGGTCAAGACCCAGTGTGCAAGACCCAGGAGAGAGGGTGAACATCCAGCTTGTTGTGTGACCAGTTTTAGTCATTAATGTGAGCCCTAGGCCCCCTCTCCTAGTTGGCCCTGTGCAGCTTTCCCATCTGGCTGTGTATCTGAACGCTTTGTGATACCCCTAGAGTAAGTGAGTAAATGCAAGTGAAGTTATCCCCTGGGTTCTCTGAGCAGTCTTAGCAAATCAGTCTAGTCTTAGGAAGGGACTGAGGACATCCTCATCCACGACCACCTGGGGCTTGTTCTGGGCATCTGAAGTCTTGAGGGAATGAGCCCCAACCTGTGGGATCTGATGCTATCTCCAGATCTAAAGTGGTGGAACTGAATTTTATTTGAGGGCATTCAGCTGGTGTTTACAGTTTGATGTGTGGATAAAAACCCACCACGCAAGTCGTATTAGAAGTGTCATATGAGAATGGAGAAGAAAAATACTTTCCTTTTTTTCTTTTAACTCTTACTTTGATATCATCTTACTGACTTGCAAAGGCATAAAAAAATAGATGTTGTAAAAGATTAATTTCTATGAAAAGCAGGGAGAGATTGATTGATTTATCATCTACAGTTTCACTTCCCAAATGGCCACAGTCTCTGGAGTCGGACCACACCGAAAATGGGAGTCAGGAACTTTATCTGGGACTCCCACATTGGTGCAGGGCCCCAAGCACTTGGGCCATCTTCTGATGCTTTGCCAGGCATATTGGTAAGGAACTGGATCAAAATGGAGCAGTTGGGACTTGAACCGGTGCCCATATGGATGCTCACATTGCAGGCAGAGGCTTTGCTAGCTGTATCACAATGTTGGCTCCACTTGTAGAGATTTTTATGATAATGAATGAAATTGTATGATTACTAAGGAAGCATTTTATTAGCCATTAATACAATATATTAATAAAATGGAACATGCATTTTAAAAGCAAGTTAAGTACTTTGTGTTCAATCATCTATGAGATCTGATACTGGGAAAATTCAAGAATCTTTTCCTGAAAATTTCCTTTAGTCAAGAATGACTTGTTTTATGTCCTGTTCCTCTGGTAGCTCTTATCTTCCAGTTAAAAAGAAACAGAAGGAATGCTGTGCCTAGCACAGGGCTTAGGGAAAGGTGGTTCAGAAT